TCATAATTTCCCCATATTGTACACATATAAACAATATGCACCCAAGACGATGACGACAATTCAAAACTAACTATTATAATATGCAATAAAAAATAGTAATAATAATCATATATAACAATAATAATAGTATACACACAAAATAGTATATGGTAGAAATTTATAATATAAGAAAAATATTTGTTAATAAAAAGCAGTATAAAATGTTCACGGCAGCATAACATAAAATTATAAAAAAAAAAAAGTAAAAATTTATGTTCCGAAGAAGTTATAAGAGAAGACCGGCAATATTTAAATATAAAAACTGAATACGAGTAGTACATATGACTATGACCAAACAAAGTACAAATAATTAAGTTGAAAAAAATTACAGAGTTATATAATTTTAACAATAAAAACTGTTAACTAAATTGTACGAGTACCATACAACATTAAGAAAAATATATTTTTTTTATTTGAAATAATAAAAAGAAAATATTAACCATTAAAAATATAAAACAAATTAGGGTATATTTAAGGGCTGTTGTATGAAATTTATGTAGGGAGGTAAACGTGTGTGTGTGTTCGTTGCGATATTTTTTATTTTGTGTCCAGATGTGTTCATATGCACATACATATGTATATGTTTCATACATACATATTATACAAAATATTACAAGAACATGTAAGTTGTAAACAGCAAATACAGAAAAAAATAATAAGTAAAAGAGTTAAATTTGAGTTTAATTACGCGCGCTATTAACAAATTGATTTTAAAATATATATGTACGTGTATGTATGCACATTCTCTAATTAAAAATTTCACATCAATAAATTGATTTAAATATTTATGTATGAGAGAAAAATCAGGTGAAATTTTTATTTTATAATTTATTTGCATGAATAATTTGCTCCACTTGGTTTGCAACACTAAGAAATAATTATCTGAAATATTGACTTACACTACCTATATTTTCGCCAAGCGACGAATTTTGAATGGATTTTATTTAATCATTTGTACTGCCATCTCCAGAATCTCACTGAATTTGAATGTAATGGCGAGAGTGACTCAAACAGATTTCATATAACTTTGATGAGCTTTTTTCAAGATAATTTCAATTTTATCTATTCTCATTTTATATAAAATCTTCGGTTAACGTTCAGGGTGCGGTAATTAAAAAATTAAATTTTGAGTAAAATTTTGTTTCCAAAAAAATTTGTCAAAAAGTGATATTGATCGCTTTTAACCGACTACATTATTTTTAATTTTATTAAAATAAATTTTAAGGAATTCAAAAAAAATAACGTATAAGAGTTGGAAAAACAATTTTAATTAGAAAAATGATTCTTTGGTGAAACACAATATAACGTGGATTTGTAGATTTATACAATCGGGGTAAGAGTGTACCGCGCAGCGATGTATAACGATCAATTGTGCCCATTACCTGAGTGCGGAGCATGTCCTACAACACACGTTAGAGACCTACACTCTTGATGAACTCCATGAGAGTAAAGCCCCCCAGTATTTCTATGTATAACTTCATTATATAAAAAAAAACATTAGTTAACAATAATTTCTAAAATCTTAAGGTTACACATCTTTTTATAAAAATTTAAAAAACAGTTATGATGACTACCATATTTAATATTTTTAATTATTTTTGATTGGATTAATTGAATTTCTTGTATAATTTACACCCAACTTTTTAATGAAGTTTTTATGTTATTGACCTTTAGTCGTTGTATAATAAAATTTTTACTACTTATATGTACAACGTGTGTACATATACTTTGGACATATATGCAAGTTTAATAAAAAGAAATTTTATTAACGTCTTTAATTATTTGCAAATATAATTTTTATCGGTCGTTTTTTTTTATTTTCATAAAAAAACTTTTGCTTAAATAATTGTTTCTAAAATTTATTTGCAATTTTCTCTTTCTCTCTGTGCACACACCTGTACATTTAAAAAGTGTTTTAAACTACAAAAATCTATAAAATAATGTTCAATTTTGTTTTTTTTTTATTTTATTTTTATTTTTGGATAAAAATCTAAATTTTGATTATTTTAATGCTGGTTTTGTTAGCATTTATAGTTTTAATCATTAAAAGCTGATGGATTTTTTAATTCACCATCCATTCAATTAGTTAAAAGAAACAATTTTTTTATATATTCGCCTTATTAACTCAAAGGTTTAATAAAAATTTAATGTTAAAATTTAGAAGGATATGGAGATTAAAAATTATTTATATACAGGATGTCCGAGACTAAATGGTATTCCCAAAGCAGGGTGATTGAATGACTTCAGTAGAACAAAAAACCCCTAGTGACATTTTCCTGTAGTGGCCTTAGTTAGTTTTAGAGATATTTAAAATTGCAAAATCAAAATTTTCAAAAATTTTTCTAATAAATTTTCGTTTAACCGTCGTTTAAATTAGACATTTTTCGTATATGCCGACTTTGAGACCCCATAACTAGTGAACAAGAGTCCCAAAACTAACTCGTGAGCGAGAGCCTCAAAAATAAAATGTCACTAGGCATTTTTTATTCGTTTGAAATCATTCTATCATCGTGCTTGGGGAATACAATTGAGTCTCGGACATCCTGTATATTCGAAACTTTTGCATTTATTAATCGCAAAGAGTGCAAGCAAAATATTTTCATTATCATTTATAATTTAAATAAAAAATTGATTTTTATTTTCTTCATAAAACAAAAGTTTTTTTGAATTAAAACAATCCACTTAGTAATCTGATATAATAAAATTTCACATTAAAATTTAGAAATTAAGAAAAATTCCGGCACTATGACAAAAAATTCATTAAAGTTAAGAAAAATCAATTCTTCAAGTTGTAATTGTGCAAGAATAAACGTACCTGATTATAGGCTTCAGACGCAAATTAAGTCATCAAATAATATATTTGTGTATACATATGTGCTCATATATGCTAGTATAATATTCGTGCTCGTTTACTTAGAATGAATGAGTAAGCAGAATCATTATAAAACAAAAACCATTGCTATACTTATTGTAACTGAATTCATTAAAATTCGAACAAACATAAAGATTTTTGTTTGATAAGCGAAATATAATCTATCAAGAGTAAAATTTTTTTGTATGGTATATGGTACAGTGGTCCGGAGGAAAATACTAGTATTTCTAAAATATATTTAATTGAAAGAATATTTTCTAATATTATATAAGTGATACGATTTCCGAGTTAAAATTGCATAATTGTACAATTATTTTTCTGTTTGAGGAGACCTAAGTTAAACAATTTTTGAATAAGTACCGGAAAACTCCTATAAATATGCAATTATAAAAAGTTAGTCATTTAAACTACAAATCAAAGATAAGTCAGTCATAAGGTACATGCGCACCTAACGATCAAGTTGACATTATTTCAACAATTCCTGAACAATTTAATTGGATGTTGAATTTGATTTTGAGGCGATTGTTAACGGTGTTATGTAATAAATAGCCTTTACCCATGTTAGTATATCTTTAAGTTTTAATCATCGTAAAAAAGAATTTATATCAGATAAATTGTTTAGGCCAAGCATCAATTATCATTCAAATTAATATTGAACGAAAGAGCCAAAACAATCATAATTTAGATGCAGAAAATGCGGTTATCTGATTGCCTAGCAAAATCGTCATCATTTGATGTGGGAAGAAAAGGATGGTGGAGAGTTAGTAAGGGTTAGAATTAATTAGCATAAGAGTCACAAAAAATTTTCGAGTTTTGTGTGTTTCTATTTCCTCCTTCTTCTTGGGCAAAAATGATTGTTTCAGCAAAAACTTTAAAGAAATACTAAAGTGCCCCTGTGTTTATGCAATAAAATTTGAATATTATAATATCCCTATAGGTATGCAACTAAAAATAAAAACAAAGCATTTATGTAATTAAAAAAAAGTTTTTTTTTATGACTTAATTTTATTATAAATTGTGAAGAAATAATAAAATTGTCGCACATAAAAATCTGCGGTTAAAACAATGTGATAAAATTTAAATTTTCAACCATTTCATAAAAAAAAAATAAACCTTCAGCATAAGTCAGGGAATGCATCATAATTTAAAAGTGGTTATGTTTTTTCTCTCTATTTCATTTATTCAACTATCTTTGAGTTTTAAGAAAATTGTCCTTTTCTTTTTCTTTATCAAGCATCATTCAACCTGTAAAATGTAAATTTCTGGATCGCAATTCACATTAAAAATTAAAATTGCAAATCACAAAATTATAAGAATAACAAAAAATAAAACTGGCAAAAAGAAAAACTCAGAGACAATTGGTTTCTATGAACGGTTATTGAAATAAATGAGTGAAAAGAGGACAAAAAAATTAATTAAAATGCGTTAAAAGCAATAAAAATTTTAAATGAGAACAGCGCAATCCTATTATAAATTTTAAAGAACAACACAACAGCAAAATTTAAAAGCAAACACTTTTTAGACTAAGAAAGTTGACCAGTTAACGCAATTTTTTTTTTTTTTTTTGATTCCTTCTGTCCCGTTTTTGTTTTTTATGAGAAATTAAAAATATGCGAAAAAAAGTGCATAACAGAGGTGATTTTTTTGAGAGTGAAGCACGTGATGGAGAGAAATTTCTATAATTTAAGAAGACGTTTTTTAGCACCAATTAAAAATTCCAATAAAAATAAAAATTCCTCTATAATAAAGAACACTTGAAAGTGTGTGTGTAGTTGTATAACAATATGATAGAGACGATCGTAATTCGTAACCATTATGACGTTTTTTTTTTTTTTTTGATTAGACAATAAAAGAGAATTGTAGAGGTGATGGTTTTTTTCGCTTAAAATGTTCTTTGTTAATGTTGAGCGTTCAAAATTATGTTGTGGAATTAATTTGTAATTTTTTTTTTTGTACACACCATAAAAATAAGTTTATTAAAATAATTTAAGAGCATATAAAATTTAATTTTTAAGAGAAATAATTTTAAAGTGTTTGATCTCATAATTTATTTTGTTAATTTTTTATTTATTTTTTTTGTTATTTGCAGATGGTGCAAGCAATACAAGTACTTCGGTTTCACCTCTTAGAATTAGAAAAAGTAAGTACAATTTTAATTTTTTGATATATAAAAATTCTTGTTATAAATTTATTATTGTTATAAAATTGTGGCACATGTAGGTTTCAATTTTAAGGTGAAAATTAATTTTAATTAAACATATAAAAATTATTGACAAGGCTTCTACTTCGCACTTTGAAATCATAGTTGGCACTATATTCTCTTTAAGGCTGACTGAAATTTATTTGATGTAAAAACATTCGACTCAGTTAAATAATAAAAAATATGTTAACTGTAGTGAACGAATGAGGTAAATATGAGGTAAATTTTAAAAGGCTATTTAAATTTCTAATTATTTGACAATCTAGCCAAATTAAGTAGAGGAAATGATCTTTTTTCATTTAGTAACTTACGACAAACAGAAATCGTGTGCAGTTTATTCAACTTGTTTGCCTTTTGTATAATTTTAAATTGTTTTTGTTTTAATTTGGTGTTTCAAGTAAAATTTACATTCCTTTTTCAACAAAAACAAAAAATTGTTTTTTTTTGTTTTTTTTTTTAAAACATAAAATTTAAACTTGTTAAAAAATTACCAAATACCGTGTATGAAATTTTAAATCTCATTTATCATTTCAGTTCGATTTAATGGTGTACCGCGAAATTACTTTTTGTTTTTTTTTTTTGTTGTTTTTGTTATGCTTTTTATTTTCATCCATTACAGACAAAGAATTGTCACAAAAATACTTGACATAATTTGACAAAAATTTGTCATCATCTTGTTGCGCTGTTTTGGTTAAAATGTGCATCATCAGAAAGAAATACACAAAATTTTCATGCGATTTTCCCATATGTATACGCGAATATGAAAAACGAAGATAACAACGACAAAACAACATTGCAAACGAAGGGGAGAAACAACAACGTAAAAACAAAGAGACGAAAAAAAAAAAAACAAATATTATGAATAAAAATGCAAATTTTACTTGTTCTGAAAAAGAAGAAGGCAACAACTTTCGAGAGTGTACATTGAGTGTTCAATTGGCATTTTTATACAATTTTTTTTTTCTTTTTTTTTGCGTATTTTATTTAAATTCTTGTAACAGAAACAGCAAAAATAAAATAACAAAATTAAAAGTATCAGCCATGATCAGTGATCAAACAAACGTGCAACTGTACATATAAAACGTACATTTTAACTAGGACAGAGACGTATTCAATTAAAATTTTGAGGTAGACTGAAATATGATACAGTTTTATAGTTTGAGTTATATAGTTTTAGTAAACGAATCTTGTGAAGGTTACGTACGGAACGCTACCTTATAATATGTAGATATATGTAAATTATATATTTTTTTGATGCGGCCAGCATATTGAAACATCTTTGTTATCTATTATTCAGTAAAAAAAAAAGGCTTGAAATGGGAGCCGAGGTATAAGAGTACAAATCAAAATTCAATACTAAGTGGAAGTCGAAGATTAAGTGGAATTTTGTCATTGCAAAAATCTGTAATTCTCACAGAGGCTCAAACTCGGATTTGGGATCACAGGACACAATTATTTATTTTTTTATTTTTTATTAAATTTTGATCGTAATTGAAAAATTTGAAAACCGATTGCACAAACTTGCGAGTTCTAGTTTTTTGTACCGATTATAGAAAAATCGGTTACGAAATTAAAAATTTTAGGCACTTTAAAAACACATACATAAATATTGTTTTTCTAATTACGCTACTGTATATGTTTGCACACATGCAATTTATGTGCATAGATGCAAAACTATACGGTATAAAAATTTATTGTAAACGCCACAATCAATTGTCTGAAAGTCGATGTGTTTTTTATTATGTTTTGTATTCTTAGTTGTTATATTTTATTTGTTTTCGAATTTGTGACTGATATGACTGACTAACATACATATAACAGCCTGCATACATTTCTATAGTGTACTTGTACAAAATTAACAAAATAAAAAAAAACAAAAAAATAACGTCTCATTACCGTATGATAATTATATATATACAATTTATTTGCATATATATATATAGAATATTTGCACGGGTTTGGCTAAATATAAAACAGTTACGTACGACAATGCGGTGACAATTCGAAAATACTTACAAATTTTTGAAAACGAATGTCATCTATAGGCTGATCGTTGATTATCATTATTACTGGCGTTGTTATTGTTTTTGTTACTGCTGTTGCTGATGTTTGAATTTTTGTCTGTTATGACTGTTGTGTTTGCTTGCAATGTTATTTCATTCTGTGTTGAATGTTTTTATATTAAAATGAATAACATTTTAGACGAAGAAGAACAATAATTTGAGTATAAACACAGAAAAGCAACAAAATAACACAACTGAATCCATCTGCATACAAGGAAACAAAAATTATAATAAAATAAATAAGATTAAGATCTGGTCACACTGGAACGAACATTTTTGCATTTTATGTTATTTTTTTTTTTTGTTTCATTTTTACTATAAATTTGTGTATTTTTTTTTTTTTGTTTTATTTTATCGCATTAAAAAAGTAACAAAAAGACAAAAAAAAATTCACCAACAAAAGAGCAATTTTAAGTCTCATTGTAAAGCCATTTAGGTGAGGTATTTCTATATTTATTTGATTTGTGCTGTCTCTGTCACATTCAATGGATTTATTAAGTAATAAGTTGAAAGAAAGGGATAGATTTCACTAGATATATGAGTTTTTTTTTTGTTCATACACACTCAATGTTTTTATTTATTATTTGTGTTTTTGTTTTTGTCTTTTTTTTTTGGGTGAGGTTTAAATTCTCGTATTAAATTAAGATTAAGATAGACTCAGTCAGAGCTCTTCAGTTCGGTTTGAACAAATGAAAAAAGAAAAAAATTAATAAAATTAAAAAAAAAGAACCGAAAATTCAAAATGCATTAAAGTTGGAATTAATTTGTTGTTTTGATATGGTAATTTCATCGCTGTCGTCTGTAATTTGAAATTTATGCATTTTGTGCAGATACTACTAACTATATTTAGAATATTTATTTTCCAATCGGCAATTTTATTTTATTTAATATGTCGTTTTTATTGTTTGTTGTCTTTTTTTTTTTATTTTTTTATTTATTATTGAGCAACCTATAAAGCAACCAAAGTGGGTGTCATTGTGATGATTTTTGCATTTTAATATTTGGTGCCGGATTTAAAAAAAAAAAATTAATTGAATATTTGCCTAACAAAATTAAATGAGGTAAAATAAGTATACATACATACATTTGTACATATAATATTATACATATTATATATGGTTGCTTATTTATCCTTATAACAGTTATTCAAGAACAGTATTAGATATAGATTTTTAAATATAGATTTTTAAATAATTTAATGGTGATTTGCTAAAGTCATAAAAATATAGCAATCATATAAGAATCTGATGATTTTTTGAAGAAAAATAGTTGTATATGTGAAGATTTTCGAAAAGTAATGTAGCTTGAATTTATTTTTCTCACATTTTTTTAAAATAATTAAAATTGATGAGATTTTACAAAAAAAAAAAATTTCAATATAATATTATGTATGAAGGTACAAAATGGCGTTATAACAAAATGAGTCAAATTAATCTTGTTAATTAATACTCAAATCAATATGAAAAAAGAGTCAAATTTAATTTCTCAACATTCTTATGCATTTATTCGTATTCTAATTCACAAAATTTTAAAAACAAGTCTTTATTTTAAATTCTGTAAAAGGAAGTTTTAATTTCTGGCGGAAGAATGAAAAATTTTAAGTACTGGTATCACTTACATACCGAAGAGTATACAAAAAAAGAGAGGTTAGGTGAAAATTGCTACGACAATCTTTTAATTTTTCTTAAATTTCTAATCCCATAAGCCCATACAAAGGATGTACATTTTAATTCCAATCTTTAATTTATGTTAAATTTACGTTTGTACATTATAGACCAAATTTAATTTCATAAATACCTTCCAACTTCGTCATGCATATTCAAGCTGGATATAAAATGTCTCAAATAGTAATAATAATTGTTTGGATATAAGTTGGATACCGTACCTTATACATGTGTACAAAAATAATTGTTAATTCTAATAAAAAAAAAATTTTATTTTAACAGAACGCATTATTCAATACTATTGACAAATGTTTTTTTTTTTTTTTTTGAAAAACATTATGCAATTTAAAAAAATTATTTTTAATTTATATACGTTTGATATAAGAGCTTCAAAAGTAAATTCCTATATGTTCTTGTATTATGTACCATTATAAACTAAATCCCTAAAGGAATCATCAAAGTCATGAACTGTAGAAAAATCTCTTTTAAGGACAAAGACCGACATTTTAGAAGTGAGAAAAGCACAAAAAATAAAAAAAATTTTTGTATCACCATGATTTTAATTAAAATTGCAAATTTATTGCAATAAATGTTTGTCTTATATATTGAAAAGTAATGAAAAACCAAAAATAATAATAATATGATAGCATTTGCTTGAGTCGAGCTCGAATGTGCAAAATGTTTACAATACTCGACCAAATGTATAACAACAATCTTTACAAATAAGTTAAATGTCGTATATTGACAGAATGGCTTTGTTTTTTTTTTTAATGGGGTAATTACTATAAAAACATTGAAAAAAACAGCAAATGTGTAGATAGAGAAATAGAGGGCAAAAAATTTGCAGTCGAAGAATAAAAATAAAGAAATTTCCTTGTGCTTTTTTTTTGTTTCAACTTGCTATTCACTTTGTTTTATATGTTATGTTTACTTAATTAGTTAGTTTTTCTGACATTTTATATATTATTATATTGTAATGTCAGTCAGATCTTTGTTTCAAACATAAATGTATGTATACTATGAAAATTTCAGTAAAGTGTTAGAAAAAAAACAGCGTGTATATTTTAAATTGTTGTTATTTCTTTGTTATAAAAACTTTGATTATTGTAAATGTCAATAGAATTAAATGTATATTTTGATCAAGTATTAAAATGTTTCCAATAGAGCTTGGCTAGAAAAAGTGTAAATACAGAATATGTAAATTTCAAAACTT